TTTTGCCTACAACTACTTATATCAAAATCTGAAACAACAGGAGTTGAGAAAGAATACCCTTTTAGCAGCATAATCACAACTGAGTGATTTGCATCAAAAATGATGGAAAATTCCTTCGGGAATAGAATACAGGATACAGGAATAGAATATATTGATAGGAATTCTGAGTAACTGTGCAAATGTCCCCCTGTGTTCATTATAACAGATTTTTTAAAATATAGTGAACCTTCTTCTTCCACACAAAATCCAGTAACATTTGTGTCATTTTTTTTCAGAGTAGAACTGTCAACATATAAGGACAGGGCTGCATATGTAAGACAGGACAGATCTTCAGCAGAATCCTGCCCTGCAGAGACAGACCCCCAGTCATGAATTCAGTTTATTTTTGGTCTTATCAATAATTGGAGAAAAACTGGAGGAACATCTTGTTTTATGATCTATGGTTATGAGAATACCTCGAAACGTTAGTTGATGTATAACAGGGATATTGCGAATACAAGTAATGGAACAATTTTTAATAGCCATTAACACCGGAGGGACGCATGCACCCGAAACACCGTACATGCTTCAAACCATAAACATAATATACATAGACGCCACGTTGAGCCTTGAATCAGACGTCACCGTAGGCGCCATATTGGAAGAGGCAAAAAGTAAGATTTTTGATTTGATTTGATTTTATTCTTTCAAACATGTAAAGACAGTCAATATGTCAACACACATAATTTCACACATATTCACAAATGCATTATCAATTTGCTTATACCTAGTACATGCTTGAACGGAGTAGGAAGAAGTTAGACTTATCCAGTCCTACCCCATGACATCATCTTACCATCATTGGTTTGCAAGCAATATTACTACATAGATAATTTTGTTCTACACCACGCTAGTGATATACAAAAAAATATTACAGACTGTTAACATTCTTACATAATTACATACTTTGATAATTATCTTCTACATCACACAAGTAGAAATATTACATAGTGTTAACATT